TCCAGGGCGGCGGGGAGGGGGGCCCGGCCGCAGACACACACGCCTGCCTGCCCAAGGGTCACGCCATCCTCACCTGCACCCGGGACTCCGGCAGGTTGATCTTGAGCGCCACCTCCTCCCGCATGAAGATGTCGGGGTAGCGGGTCTTGGCGAACAGCGCCTCCAGCACATCCAGCTGCGCCCGGGTGAAGGTGGTGCGCTCCCGCCGCTGCTTCCGAGGGGTCGCTGCAAAGAGCAGCCGGAGGCCCTTAGTGGCGGTTAGCAGCAGAGCCGCCCCCCTCCCCGAGACCCAAACACCCTCTTGGAAAGTTAGCGCGGCTGGGGAAGGCCCCAGGGCGCATTTCCCAGGGAGAGGGGCAGGGAGCCGCAGCGCCCTGCTCAGCCAGGGTCCCCCAAACTACCTCCCCTCCCCAGCCTGGCCTCTCCGGGCAGGAGGGGGGGAGCTCTGGCAAGTCCCAGAACCTCTGGCTCGGGCGATGGGGGGCGCCCCACGGAAGGCGCCAGAGGTTGGCCACTGGCCCCAAAGGCGAGGCCCCTAAAGCCAGCCCCCAGCGGGGTCCCCTCGCTGGGCAGCAGAGGCGGATGGCGCCGCTTACCCGGGTAGCCCACGGAAGGATGCAGCAAGTCCATGCCCGAGGTTGTCAGGCTCAACCCGTTGACGGCGTAAGGTGGTTGCTTGAGATAAGACATCATGCTAAAGTTGGGCTGGGCGGAGAGCCGGCCGAGGCGTCGGGGCAGGGGGAAAGGCGCGCACGCTCTGGGTTCCGTCCGGAGCAGAGATTCCGTGTCCCAGCGGGCGGGCTGAAACCAGATGTCTACACGGGGAAAGAGAGGCAAGGGGCGGGGGGCTGGTTAGCCGAGCTGCCTGGAGTCGATCTCTTATCTCTGCTGGCTCGCTGGAGTGTGAATAGCGACAGGCAGGGCCTCAGCTCTTAGCCCCCGAGAGTCCCGGCTGCAGCGTGGACCAAGAAGACACTCACTAGATAAACGCTTTAAAAAAGTGACACCCCATCTAGTAATTACAACCCGCCTCGCAGGAGCATCCCCCTTCCCCCCATGCCTTCAAATGCACACATTGTGTTGCTGCCCTGGGCATTTGCATAGGGTGCATCGGCTGGCACTAGCTAATTGTCTCAAACAAAACTTGATTGGGGCTATTTGCGGACACAAAGACCTCCTTGGCTAAATAAATAATGCTGATAACAAAGCCCATTGGCGAGAAACAAAGAAACAATTCAAGACACCTATCTCTCCCTCGGCCTGTCGCAGGGCTTTTTAATGAGCCCACATTCAGCAGCTAGGAACCCCAAAATGCTGGCGCATTTAAGAGCAGAAATGCCATCTTGGAATGAGCCAAACTTTTCCGTCCTGCCACTATCATCCCGCGTTTGAAGTGATTTCCATCAGCCCTTTTCCACCTAATTAGTACGTTGGATAATTAGATTTAGAGGTAAGTAAGAGATTGATGAGGCTTTCAGGAACTCTTGATTAGGTCGCTCACGCTAAACAAACAAGTATTTAACTTTCAAACAAAAAAAAAAAATCACCCAGCGAAACTTGCTTCCCAAGGTCCTCAAGGGTTAGGAAAAGACTCCCCTTAAAACACTAGCAGTCATTTTCTGTCCATTGCAGGCTGGGTCTGCAGGAAGAGGCATATTATTAGGAGAAATACCATCCTTTCATTTCCTAACCCCCAGTAGCTTTTGGTTGTTTTCTCCCTAGCCCTACTGACACCTATTTGGAAAGCAGCTTCCCCCTCTCCCCCCCCAAAAAAACTCTTTACTTTTCCACCCTGCTCCAGGGTTCCAAAGTGTGACATTAACACAGCCCGGCAAACTAGCGTGTTCCATAAAATGTTACCCTGCTCTTGGACCGAGCTAAGGACTTTACAACTTTGAGGAAGCGCCTTATTTTCCCCCAAAATGGCGGACAGGGAGGAGGGAATTTCCAAGAGTGCAAGAAGAAGATTTGGATGGTGATGTTTAGACTGTCCGGCTTCCTGCTCCGATGGCATAAAGAACCCAGCCATCTCCATCAACACCTCACTGCGGAAGTTAATTCATCTTTCACGTTACAAAACCACGCTCCCTTAATTCAACGTTAATGTAAAAATAAAGCGGATCTTTGAGACTTTTCCAGATCCCTCCCATTCAAAGGTAGATGTTTCATCAAATAAATGCCTATTAGCTAAGTTATAAACCAAAGCCAGCCTACTCTGTTTCACGTGCTGTGTTACTACAAACCTTAGTCTAGTCTAGCAAGGTTTTTAATCGATACTTGGCTATTTTAACTTTCCTGAGTTGCATGAATTAAGTTTCTCAATTCCGATATTTATTATTGCATTTTTCTCTTGAACTTAACGGTACTTAATTTGCAAATCCTTCTTCTATTAGTGAGAAAACAGCAATTTACTAGGATCAGAAGAGATTTGTTTTTAAAAGTAGATTGTGTGCGCGTATTTGTGAGTGAATAATAAACAGGCATCACACACACAATCACATATATACAAATATAGTTCATGCACACCTCTTCGGAAGTGTATATTTCACTACAATCCCCTATGGAAGAATTTCAGTTTAATTTTTTTTTAAAAAAATTCTCAGAACCATTACAAAACAAAACAAACCCCCATTCCTACGTTTTGATGTTTGGCCACGTTAGAGGGACATTCCGAGTCCCATCTTCCTATGAAATAGGATTAAAAGCTTCCATGACTAGAATCAAACTTTTTTTTCTAGTGAATTCGTTGCAGTGGATACTTGCCTTAAGTGGGAGAGATTTTCGATCTTAAAAAAAAAAAAAAAAGTGCAGGAAATCTGCCGCCCTTGGAACGCGAAGGGACACCATATAAATCCAAGGCGTTTGCAAATCTGGAAATGCGATGGGAAGTTGGATTTACCGTCCTGCCTTCTTGCATGCGGCTTTGCGCCTCTGACCTGCTTGGTGGCACGGTCTCTCAGTTTTATATCTAACGGCCATTCTGCTCAATCTGTCACCTTTTTCTCCCTCCCAAAGATCTCATCTACCAGTTGCTCTGCCCTCGCTCAATAATAATTACCCAGTCCAAGAATTAATTATAATAAATGTTTTCTTGATAAACTAACGAGATAATCCGAGGGACACACGTTCCCTAATTACGGGCCGCCAGACCTAGCTCGGCAGATCATGTGCACTGATTAATTTTCTGCCTGATGGCAATGAAACAAAACGTATATAGACTGGCGTACTGTTTATCACAACACGCAGCCTGGTGTGAAGAACTGCAGGGAAAGTTTTAGGCCTGGGGGGGAGGGGATCATTTAAAGGATGCAAACGGGGAGACCCCTCTTTTGGCGCATAGTCACTTTTTGGTGTCTGATATTGTTTGTGACAGTGATTTCTCTCCTCACCCCCCTTCATACTTTTAACAGGAAGGGGAATTTAAAAATACAGTTGGCGGTGGGTTAAGAGGTATCATCAAATCCTGCTTTTTATTCGAGCTCCCCAGTGTAGCTAAAAATCACCCAGACCTCACCATTCTCCTTCAAAAAAAGTTTTAAAAACTCAGCCCTTCGTTGCTACACAATAAAACCACCTGCACGGGTAAAAATCAGAGAACCGCCCTGCGAAGGAACTAACCTTCGGCATTATGGTAAACTCTCTTCCCCCCAAACCAGGCATTTTCACCTTTTTGGTTTTTAAAAAAATATTGGATGTCATGTGCACCGTACGCCCGCTTTGATCGCCATGAATGCAAACGCACGTAGATCCAAAATGACTGAATTATGCCGAAGACAGGTTTACACAGGGGAGAAACTTGCAACGGGTTTACTTTCTTCGGCCTAAGGGGAACAAGTTTAAAGAGATGCAGCTGTGTGTGTGTGTGTGTGTCCGTGTGTATCCGTGTCCCCAAGACTGCATCCCTTTGAACTTCTTCCTCTTTAGTCAACGAAGATAACCCCCTTGCAAGTTATATATCGGGGATATAACACAAACGGCTTTACACCACACACCTCCAATTGCAGAGCTTTGTCTCTGTCTACACCGGTCGGTAGCTAGTGTGTAGCCATTTGCGTTACACACACCACTCTGCGGTGTTTAGGTTTTGGGCACTGCTTCTCTGAAAGCACCTGTCCAGTGATAGCTGCAAACCGATCCGTCTCCCGTTTAGAAATTGACCCGATCCTTGTCATTCATTTCCACAGTAAAGAGAAACGGCGTATTTTTTTATTCTCTCTCCACCCCAAGTTGATTGAAAGAGTCAAGCCATTTGCGTTACACACACCACTCTGCGGTGTTTAGGTTTTGGGCACTGCTTCTCTGAAAGCACCTGTCCAGTGATAGCTGCAAACCGATCCGTCTCCCGTTTAGAAATTGACCCGATCCTTGTCATTCATTTCCACAGTAAAGAGAAACGGCGTATTTTTTTATTCTCTCTCCACCCCAAGTTGATTGAAAGAGTCAAAGCCTCTCTCCACCCCAAGTTGATTGAAAGAGTCTAAGCCCCCCCCCCCAACACACACACACACACTTAAAAAAAATCTAACCCTTTTCTCGTTGCCTCGAGTCCCGTCTGCTCAAAGCCATGTTTGCAAAACGACTTTTCCCTTTGCTGAGTCTATCGATCGGGAGTGCGAGGCAGAAATCTGTTTATCAATAACCGCTCAGACCAGGGATGTCATTCCACATTATTATTATTTATTTAAGAAGTGTATGTACCGCTAGACAGCGGCCGGAGTCTGGAGGATCAAGCCAAGCACAAGAAGAAGAACAATTTTGTTTTTCATGGGAAAAGCTCGCTTTGGGAGGAAGAGAGTCCCACACAGACAACCAAATCAAGGGAGGGGAGAGCAGTGTCTACCCGCCTCCTCAATTAGCAGGCTTGGTCCCTGCCTTTTCATTCAGACTCTGCATATCGGGGAAATGAATTAAATTATATTGGGGAGGCATCTGGGGAAGCGAGTTTCGGACCTTTCCCCCGCCCCACTCCTACCGGAGCTGCGAAACTAGGATCGGTCTCAGTCCACAGAACAACGGGAAACGGGCCACTCCGAATTATAGCGAGAGAGGCTGAATTGTGCCCTTGGCCAAGCGAAATCAAACTGTAGCTGTCGCGAGCTCTGCTGTGATTCCCGGGACAGATTTAGGGACCACCGCAAAGCGAGAGAGAGAGATCTTCACATGCTCAAGGGGAAAAAAAGAAAAAAGAAACCGTTTTCAAACAAGCAAAGCGTTCACACTTACCTTGAGGCTTCTAGGGAGGAGTGTGCCGGGGTGGGGGAGGGAGGAGGCGGGCAAAAAACTGACCAAATTATCCTTTGCCAAATTCAAAATAAAGCGCTCCCCTACAAAAGAAATCACAAAGCAGCGGGTTAGAAATCTTGCATCCTTCCACCTTGCCCGAGAAGCGAACGAAAAAGGGGGCGAGCGAGGCTACACGAGTCTAAAGGCTTTTCAATGGAGCAGGGGGGGGCTCTGTCTTCGATACATACAAAGTAGGACGTAGCCGGATCCGGCCAAGGGGTTTTATTTTTTAATAACAGTGGAGAAGTGAATTGGAGCTGAGGTCTCTACCTCTCTCAGGGAGATTTGCTGAGAAAGCGCCGCTCTGGCAACTTTTTGACGCAAACTCTCCAACCAATAGCAAGGAGAGAATGATTGACACATCTAAGCCAGAGGGAAAATAATAAAAACACACAACAGGGGGAGGAAAACAGGCCACTGCTGCACTGGGGGGACGAGCAGGCAACACGGAACAGCGACCAAAAACCGACACAAGAATATACATAAAAGCAACGAGGCTCGTTTTTAAAAAAAAATATACATTCGGGGCTGCAGCATATGAACTAATTGTACAATTAGCAGGATGGACAGCAAAGATCACGTTACTTTCTTGCTGGGGGGAGAGGAGACGGTGGGGGAAGATCACACACACACACACACACACACACACACACACACACACACACACACGAAAGAGGATATTAAAATATAAGAGTAAACATTATGGGAAAGGGAGGGGGTAGGGGATACATCCCGGGGAATTCAAAGCAAAATCTGCCAAGAAGCTCTTGGATTAAAAGCAGAACGCATGTCAAAGACCGGAGTTTAACGCCCCCGCCTCCCCAAGGCAGCTGAGGTATCAAAGAAAGTGAAACTAAGTTAGAGAAAGAGAAATAAAGCGCGAGCGAAAACTATTGGTGACAGGGACCAAGCCTGGGATGCGGGTCCAAAGTGAACTAGCCAGAGGCGGAGGGGAAACGGGTTAGTGCTGCTTCCCTGCTAGATGGACAGCGTAGGGTGCACTAGATGGGTGCAGAGATGCCCTCTCTATGGAGAGAGAGAGCCTGTGCAGTCAAAGGGGGCCTAGGGGAGAGGATCCTCTATGGGACAAGCGCGTAGCAAGTGCCTGGCGCGGAGGGCGGAAGATTGCGCGCTTCCTCGCGGCCAGCACGCCCCTGGGCAATTCAGAAATGCCAGCTCTCTCCTGGTCGCCCGGTTTCGGGGACTTGCTCTGCTGGGTCCGAGAGGGCTGCTAACTCATCCCCCCCCCCCCAGAGCGGAGACCAGAGCACGTTTAAAACACGCGGAAAAAAGTCGCCGAGCTCAGCAGAAGCCGGAGAGGAAGCCCCTACCCCCGCCGGCACCCGGGGGAGAAATCAAATACAAGCCGGCCCGAGCCTGGCAGTGGGGGCATGAAGTACAGCGGGTCACTCGCCTCTTCCTGCCGCTTCCTCGCCCACATGTGCGTGGCCGGGATGCGCTGCAATGAACGAAAGATTTCAGAGCCTCGGCGGCTTTATTTTTATTTTTTATTTTTTGCCGGGGAGGGGCAATTAAAAACAAAAGCAAAAGTAAAAAAATTGTCCCCCCCCCCCAGCCCTTTGAGGGGAGACTTCTGAAAAGTTTGGGGCTGGCTGGGATGCCCGCAAGGGCAGCTACTCGCTAGGAAACTCCGCCGTGTCGCATCCCCTGGCTCCCCAAGAGAATCAAAGCATCGATTCCCGGCCCTGCTTTGTAGGAACCCGGACACATGGATTTTGAGGGGAGTAGATACTGGCTCTTTGTACCCCTCTCCCCAGTCACTCGACAGAGAAGCCTGAAAATGATGTAAAATCCCCGTGTAGGCACCGCGTCCCTCTGAATTTTCCTTGCCATAATAAATATCGAGAATCAACTCTTCCCCTCCTCCCCCTTCATTGGTCCTCACGCGATTTAATAAGATTAATCCACCTTGGAAGAAATCTAAAGATAATTTCTTCCCGTGCATCCTGGCCCAGAAGATTTTCTGAATGGGAATCGATTTTTTTTTGTTAAAAAAGGGGGCAGTAAAAGAGGGAATGGGGGATGTAGGTGGGGGTGGAGTGGGGAGACCTGGGAGGAGCCGTTAAATAAAACACAGCGCCCCAAAAAAAGCCTAGTGAAAAACCGGGACTGAAGAGCTGGGAATTGCAAGCCATGGAGTTTGTGGTAAATATCCAGACCAGCAGCAGCTCTTGAAACTGACCATGCTTAGATTGTGTGGGGGGCCGTGTGAATAAGGGAGCTCCCTTTCCTGTAGCTAGGGGACTGCATGAGGCGAGCTCCCCAGCCTGTTCCTTTGCCCTCTAGTCTAATAAGTTTGGAATAATCGCCCGGCCAATAAAACAAGTGGCAGAAATGGACGGTGTGACTTAAATAAACAAGGGTCTCTTTAAAATTCTCATCCACTTCAGATGTCTAAAGTAAGATTGTGATGATTTTGTCACGGTTTGGTAAATTTACCCCTTTAAGAGGCTTTCATAAATCCCAGAACACACCTTCAGCCAGATTTGAATATAGATTTAGGTTTTAAAACCCAGAAGCTGGGAACACCGCTTTATCAAAGAGAATTTCCCTTTAGCTTAGCAATGTGTTGGAATGGCTCTTGCAAAGATTGGATCTGAAAGGGGGGAAAAGGGAGAAACCTTCTTTCTGGAGGAATTCTGCACAGACCTTGCAGCAGCTCCTGGCTAAACCTTTCCTGCAGCTAATGGGAAACTTGCAAAAATGGGGTTCTCCGTCGGTACGAATGCGCTTTAGCATTGCTTTTTTTTTTAATTCCAATATCTTCTTTTTCGATACGGAAACCCTTTTCAGACCAGGTGCACTGCCAGAAATCCAGCCTAACTCGGGATAAACTCCTAGTGAGTGGACGCTGTGGGGTGAACGATAAAGAACTCTGAGAACCAAAAATCTACTTCTGGGACGAAAAGCGCTCTGACTTCTGAGTCTCAGTAAGTTCTCCAACTTCCAGTACCAATTGTTTTCCATAGCCATTCATTTCCTCTCTCTGCCTAGCCATCCTCTCTCTTTTCCTCTCTATTTTTGATTCCTTTGGCATTATTTTCCACGCCTTCTACGTTGACTGTTTTGCAAGCGTTTGTGGCTGTTTGTTTTACAAAAAGAGTTTATTACCGAAGAGTGAAGCGAGCTTCCCCGAAGCTGAACCGATTTATGATTTGTCACCTTTCTATCGCAGCTCGGATCCGGAGAGCGAGGCATGCTACTCGCTTAGCTTTGCCCTCTGCGGAGTTGGGTCTAGTTAAAATATTCCGCACTTCCCCCGAGTTTATACGCGGTTTTCTGCTCCCCCCCAAAACCCCTCTTATTTTGGGAGGGATGCGATTGAAATAGCCATCCCCAAACACCAAGGGCCACTGTTCAGAAATGTTGCCAGTTGTTGCAATGTTAAAAAGAGCTCCCTTTTCATTCGGTCTCAGAGTTGAATACGTTCCTTTGTTGTTGTTTTTAATTAGTCGCCACCCCAACCTCGCTTAAAACAACTTTCATAATTGGGATGGGAGGGAGGGGGAGGGGAGGAGAAAAGGGAAAGAAAGAGGCAACATGGAAGCTTCCCATTTTACAGCCATCTATTCCCCAAACATGAGACACTGAGGCAGAGAGAACTCCCCACAAGGAAGGGCTGAAACTGACTATGGTCCAAAAAAAGGAGAAAAGTCTCCCTGAAATCGCGAAATAAAACAGATCGCGCGTGTTTCCGGAGGGAGCTGGGTGGGGGTCGCGCCTGAGGAATGGGTGGGATGCGAACTCGGGTGGAAATATTCTGTGCATACGTGGGAGCCGGTGGGTCAGGTGTGTGTGCGTGTTTGTGGCTGAAAGGCGTTAATTATCCGTTTCCGTGATTTTCCTCTCCTGGCCCTGGAGTTGCCTAGATGAGGAGCAATCCGTTTATAGTTCCCAGTCCTGATATTAAAATAAGGATTCCCGGCCGATATCCAGCACGCTGGCAAACTTCATAGCTGGCTTGGGGAAGGGGGAAAACCAGAAAGCAATGGGGGTGGTAAGAAAGAATAAAAAAAAACTCCTCAGCGAAGCTCTAACCGAGCCATTCCCACCTAACCTTTTACACCCTTTATTTCCCGCACACAGAAAACGTCTTTTACTGAGACCCGCAAAGAACTTTCCCTTTGCTTTGGTTTCCTTTGGATTTTTAATTAGAACCCATCAGATGCAGCCATATATATAAGAATCGATATAAAGTAATCCTCGGAGATGGGGGATAAGGTTTTAATCGAAAATCTTCTTTGCCATTCTTTGCAGATCTTCTTTAGCCGCTGGCTGGTGGAGAAACAAATGTTCATTTTAACCCCCCCCCACCCCCCACCCCCCGCACACAGACAAAGCAGAAAACTTGCAAAAGATCAGAAACCAACTGTTGTTACCCTGGGAATAAGAAATGAACTCTCATGTTATCTTCTTTCTTTCCCTTACTCCCAACGATTGCTTGGTGGTTTTCCTACCTACATGAATCTCTAAACATCACCTTGAAAAATAGATCCATGTTTTCATCTGCTGCACACCACGTTGGAAGAATTATTTTCCCTGCAAAAGAAAGAGGCGGGATTGTGTGTGTTACTAAAGATCCAAAAAGTACAACATGGGCAGGAAATCGTCTAGTAAACGAAATCCTTAAATTGGCCACAGATTAAGGAAGGAATAGCGGATTTTTTAACCGCGTTTTGTTTGCTTTTGTTACATGATGTTCCATTTCATTCGCCTCTGTTACTTCAGGAAATATTTATTTTCGAATGTCAAAAAAACCCCACTCTTTAGTCCGTACAGACTAGCAAGCGGTACTTTGCTCAGAGGGGTGGGAGAGGGAGGGGAAGAGACGCCAGCGTTTTAAACAATACCACCAGCTTCAATTTGCTTTGTTATTTTAAAATTCATTGTCAGTCTATTCTGGCTCCCCTGTGTTCTTGCATGATTAAACTGTGTTATTTGTGTTCCCAAAAGCTGCGCATTATCTCCAAGTGCAAGTGCATTTGAAAGCATCATCCTCTGGTTTAACGTAAGCAAACCAGACTGCGGGAAAAAAAAGTTTCTCCGCGTAACTGCGGCGGAGCGTCGACTCGCATTTGAAAGCATCATCCTCTGGTTTAATGTAAGCAAACCAGACTGCGGGAAAAAAGTTTCCCCGCGTAATTGCGGCGGAGCGTCGACTCGGAGTCGTGTTAATCATGATTTTCTATTTGATAAGTGCGTTTTAAAGAAGGGCCCCTGCTTCTATTTATTTCTTTATTTATTTTTAATCTGAAGACGAGCGAGCCTGCCTGGCCGCGTTTGAA